ACTCGAGGCCCATCTTGTGAGTGGGAAATTGGTCGCAGTGGGGATCTTGACAGCTTTCCCAGTGTGTGTGTGGGTAGGGGGGAAAGTACTGGTCAAAACATTCAAAAAATTGTTGTCAGTAAAAACAGTTCTCGGTGAGAATGGCATCATTTCCGAAATAAAACAAGTTGGTTAGATTATATACCTTTCTTTTGTGTATACCCCCCATTCGAAAAACAATATCACATTCTCTTATTAGTCCCATATTCTTTCCGTGGTATTGGCGCATATGTATGGTTCCGAATGAGCCTACGTACTAGCACAAGTCACATGACTGAGTTTGTTTTGGTAATCGTGTTGCCAGGACAAGTACTTTTGTGTTCCGACATACTTAAACTGGTACCAAATTTGCATAGTGGTCTTTCATAATTCAAGGTGACCTGCCTTAAAGAATAGGTCAACAACCGGATATGACCCTATTGTTCTCTCGGTGTTTTTGTCCATATCCGAGCGAGTGTACAGCCGCTTATTGTCAATATCTTTATAGAGCTGATAATAATTACCGAAAACTTTACCAGACCCTCACTCTATCGAGTCAGGAAACTATGCTCTTATAATATTAGAAGTAATACGTGTTCTCAATATATACTCACCGATTTATCTAAGATATAATCATAACGCAGACAATGCCCCGAAGCTGTGACAATGACATTCTAGTTCGATGAAAGTGGCGCATATGTATGGTTCCGAATGAGCCTCCGTACTAGCACAAGTCACATGACTGAGTTTGTTTTGGTAACCGTGTTGCCAGGACAAGTACTTTTGTGTTCCGACATACTTAAACTGGTACCAAATTCCAGACAAAAACCAACCGATTTTGCAATTACCTGACGTATATAATTTGAATGTCTCTCCAACGCCATGAAAATGTGTTATTTGCATAGTGGTCTTTCATAATTCAAGGTGACCTGCCTTAAAGAATAGGTCAACAACCGGATATGACCCTATTGTTCTCTCGGTGTTTTTGTCCATATCCGAGCGAGTGTACAGCCGCTTATTGTCAATATCTTTATAGAGCTGATAATAATTACCGAAAACTTTACCAGACCCTCACTCTATCGAGTCAGGAAACTATGCTCTTATAATATTAGAAGTAATACGTGTTCTCAATATATACTCACCGATTTATCTAAGATATAATCATAACGCAGACATGCCCCGAAGCTGTGACAATGACATTCTAGTTCGATGAAAGTGGGATTATCATGCGCGTCACGTAACCAGTACTCGACTATTTGGACCGTCCCGGGGAGCGAGGGGCTAATTTATAATCACATAGGGTGTCTTTCTATGGCCACAGTTTTCTTGCACTGGTAATTTCTCACTAGGGCATTATCATTTTGTAGAATGGATGTTAGTCTATACTTTGTCGGGAGTTGACTTGTGGGAGCATCTTTTATTGGAGACTACTGTTTATAGTTTGTATGACAGTCTCAATCAATAAATCAATAAATATATATGTTAAATGTTATTTAAATATATAAGTATGATACAAGCAACAGATATTCATATTGGCTACACTGGCTTATAGCTAAGCACACGACATCATTAGTTATATGCATATCCAGTATTGAAGAAATATGTAAATGTATTACTGATGAATATTGCTTATGGAGAAAGAAATTCGCAATTACATGTAGTATTAACTCCGGCTATTTCATTATCCACATTTTATGTGGAGAAATATTTGATATTGTCAGCATCATTTACTTTATGTTTTTTTTTATATTACCTAAAACCCTGCAAATGGAAGTGTGCGTGGAAGAAACGGTGTGCATTGCCGTGTGATAACTGTCATAAAGGTGATTTACAGGTCATACTTGTTTACAACTCTGGAAGGACAATTGGAATCTACCAGGTTGGCTTGTGATTTACAAAGAATGTTTACTATCTACTGACCTGCTGACGTGAGTGCCATCAGGTCAACGTGAGACAGCTGCTGGCAAGACCACATTCTGATTGGCTCCTGTGGAAACCCATGTGGTGTACCTGAAACTGGGCTATTTATGCCCTATAAATAGGCTAGATTGAGGACAGTTGGGGATCATCATTTTAACTAAGTCTCTGTCTGTTGCTGCTGCGATATTGAGTGACAAGTGATACATGCTTCAATCATCATTATGTGAACTGCGATCTCTTGCTATCAGCGGTGCCCTCCAGAATAACAGCGTCCCTGCAAGCAAGACTCTTGTACCACTTCGTTATTGTGTTGCAGAAGCCATTGACTGTCATCAATTTCCACATCCTGTTACTACGAGTTATCACCAATGCACACATCCCTGGACAATCCCCTATTTTAGTGAATTTATGCATTGCATTTTTCTGTGCTTTATTTCTTGTAAGTATTAAAGCCGGGAGCTTTAACTTTTTATGTTGGTGTGTATTTCATTTCCTGGACCAGTACTATTGTCTTTTCTACCCCATTCTAGCAGTGAAATAACCCCCAGTTCAATGTGAGTTCTGTGGGTATCCCTCTCAACATCAATACTCAGCCCTTACACTGCAGCAGCGAAAATGTCTCTAATCTAAATATGAAATACTAAAAAATTACTTATTAGTAAATCTAGCAGTTTCCATCAATAACACATAAAGATTCAGTATTAAACAATATTGTACTAACATGTTATTCACTTTTTCTCGCGTTTAATGTTAACACATAGTCAAAATTAATTTTCTACAAGAGAGCTCCTAGCGACTGCACAATTCTAACCTGTCAGCAAAGTTCAACTGAGTCTCTTATGGTATGCTACAATCGGAACTTTTTAGCGCCTAACAATATATGTAACCACTATATCAAAGTACATTATTATTATTATTATTATTAATTTCTCGAAACACAAACTATATAATCTCGCACCATAAACCTAATTTATCGCAACACATTTCCAGTTTCTCACAGTATTACTTTGATTTTTGACAAGTTTTAGAATCGTTGTTTTGATTGACAATATCTTACAGTATATCCAATACAGTAACTGTTTAATACCACAGAGATGTTCTTGAAGTACAGTAGTACAGCATATGTATAAACTCAGGGTTGGAAATGTACAACACTGTAACTGAGTACATTCAGGAAAAAAACAACATCTTGAATAAAAATACTGACAAAATTGAAATCGAAATCATTAATCATTTTGTGAACCTCTATAATAATTGTAAATTTCATGTAACTTACAAACCTACACTGTTTTCAAGCATGATACGTGGATGTATATCATTTATACAAAACGTTTGATCTACATATTCAACAGACCGGGAAAATTGAGCAACGAATCGCGAAAAGCAAAATTGGATGTTCTAACGGTCAAATAGTAAACATTTACACAACTGAATTCCATTCAATACGGTATAATACACATGCAATCTTTTGATATGCCACTGTAGAGGCTTTTGTCAGCGTACATGCGTGTTTGCCAGACTGGAGTGAAGTGAAGGGAAAGTTATAGTAGTAGCAAAATGTCCGTTGTCCGTCGTCGTCATGTTGTCCGTTGTCCGTCGTCGTCACGTTGTTGTTGTCGTCGACTTTGTTAACTTTCCTTTTGTACGCGATAACAATAATATTTAGCCGATAATATATAGTTAATTTGTACACATAGATGACCTGTGTGGTTTTGGTATTATGATGATTTTTTTATTGTCTCTACATTATTAATAATATTTGCACTGGTACATTAGAGTTGGTACTGCAGGTTAATAGGTATCTGATTCCAATAGCTGGGTCACAGTGCATCACTGAGCTGAAATGTCAATTATTAAATATTTGCCATGCTGAACAATTATGTTTGTACAATTATAATCATCACCTCTCCATTAAAACAAACATTTTTATTTCAGCTTTTGTCAGTTTTCCCATATCCCTTGCAATAATTTTCCACAAAAAACCCAGAGTGGATCGAAACCGAAAAATATTGCTACCGCTAAAACAATAGAACACCGCGAATACTACATTTGATCATATGATAATGCTGTTCATTTACTTAGCACTGATTTACTGTGTTGTGGGGAAAACTAGGTCTTCTTGGTCACCTCGGTTATTGAGTACACATCAAAAATTAAAACTTGATTGTTTCTGAGGTGCTCTGTCTTGAACGTTTTGTTTTTTGCCAGGGCGCCCTTTCGGGCAACATTTAATCTATTCATGATGTGAACATTG